CCCTCCCTTTTCCTCTCTGTTGATCGATTGCTGAATTTTCTTTCTTCTGTTGTTTCTTCCCTGTGTGAACACATACATAGAGAATTTTGTTTCTTTGTCATACAATCTTGCTCTGAAGCTGTATGGTGACGACTGTTTATGGGTTTCAGTTGCTGCGATGATAGTTTGAACTACTGGATGGTGCTCTATTTTTGCTTTATGTGCAGTTTGGTAGAAAATGATTCGCGTTTTCCATCCAAAAGTTATATTTTTTTTCAGCCTGTAAAGTACACCCCTGTAGTCAGTTATCGATTCATGCCTTCTCCTTTATACAGTCACACTTCTGAAATATATATTGTCAATTTTAGGCAATGATGCATCGAGCAGTAGTTCAGTCTATATTCAGTAACATATTTTTATTGAATAGAAACGTGGATATGTGCAAAAGAAAAGTGTGCAGATGGTTCAGTGCAAATAGAACAGGTTGATAATAGAGGTGTAAGAAGAAAATGGGGAAACTAGATTTCTGTTTTTTATCTCTTGCTGATGTGTTTACCTCTTGCTTTAGTTGGTCGCAGGTGAGGCGTTGCTGCAGCCCAAGCTGACCTTCAGTGCCATGGCCGGGCGGAAGTTGGCCGATGCAGCCAGTCCCGTCCACATCAACGGCGTTGGCGACCTCTAGCATCTTTGCTTTCTCCTCGTCTGCTGCGGGTGTGCAGTTCTTCTTCCCCTCTGGCTCCTCCTCGACCTCCCCGTCGAGCCACGTGAGCTGCTCATCCAGGAGGTTGTTCTTCAACTTCTCGCTCCCTCTTGCTTTCTGTTGATTGGTTGCTGATTTTTTTTGTTTCTTCCCTCTGTAAACACATCATATAGATGTTTCTTTGCTGTGCAAAATGTGCAGGACGAAGCATCACATCTTCTGCCCCTGTCTGCTGCGGACATGCACTTCTTCTGCCCATCAAGTTCTTCCTCGACCTCATCGCCGACCCACGCGAGTTGCTCATCCCGCAGGTTTCCTTCCACTGCCCGCTCTGCTCCCTCTAATTCCCTGTCGATTGGGTGCTGATTTTTTTGGCAGTTTCTTCTTCCCTGTGTGAGCACATACATAGAGAATTCTGTTTCTTTGGCATACAATCTTTGCTCTGAAGGTGGCTAGTGATGACTGTTATGGGTTTAGTTAGTACGTACTGCAGGAGTAGCTGAGACAGAGATTTTGAGTTAAAGAGGGCCTTGGATGAGAAGAAATCAATCTGTGCTAAGTTTAAGGATCCCTCCCTGCATTCTACTGTTCTTATCATAGAGGAACAGGCAGCTCTATTTTGTAGAATTTGTAGAATTTGTATACCAGAAGGTTGTTTGAGCTACTGGGTGCTGCTCTATTTTGCTTCATGTGCAGTTTGGTAAAAAACTATTCATGTTTTCCATCCAAAAGTTATATTTTTTTCAGGCTGTAAACTGCATCCCCTGTAGTTAGTTTTTGATTCATGCCCTCTCTTTTATACTGTTATACAGTCACACTTCTCAAATGATGCATCGACTAGTAGTTCAGCTAGTATCCAAAATCATGATTTTATTTAATAGATAAATGTGGAGATGTGCAAAAGAAAAAAATGTGCAGATGGTTCAATGCAACTAGAGCAGGTTGATGGGAGAGGTGAAAGAAGAAAATGGGGAAACTAGATTGCTGTCTTTTATCCTCAACATGAAATTTTGGTTCCTTTTGTATGCTTGAGCCTTTTTCATTTGAAAGATAGGATACTTAAACGTGTACTTCTCTTATGAAAGGCCTTGTTGGGTAGACCTTGCTGATGTGTTTACCTCCTGCTCTGGTTGGTCTTAGGTGAGGCTTTGCTGCAGCCCAAGCTTACCTTCAGTGCCATGGCTGTGCGGAGGTTGGTCAATGCATCTAGTCTGGTACACATCAATGACGCGGGCGACCTCTAGCCTCTTCGGATTCTCCTCGTCTGCTGCGGCCGAGCCATGCGAGCTGCTCATCCCGCAGGTTATTCTTCCACTGCCAGCTCCCTCTTCCTTTCTGTTGATTAGTTGCTGATTTTTTTTGTTTCTTCCCTGTGTAAACACATAGGTAGAGATGTTTATTTGACATATATTCTTGCTCTGAAGCTGGTTGGTGACTATTGTTTATGTTCAGTTGGTACGAAGCACATGAGTATCTGACAGAGAGGTTTTTAGTTGAGAGGGCCTTGGAAGAGAAGAAATCAGCCCATGCCAAGTTGTAGGATCCCTTCCTGCATTCTATTGTTCTTATCGTAACGTTACAGATAGCATCTAAAGAGGCTCAATGCCATTGAGCAGTGCGTACTTGTCCACTGACAAGTTTGTCGCAATTGTACATCCAGCGATTGTTTGAACTACTGGATGCCGCTCTATTTTGCTTCATGTGCAGTTTGGTAGAAAATGATTCACATCAAAAGTTACATTTTATTTTCAGGTTGTAAACTGCACCCCTGTAGTTAATTATTGATTCATGCCTTCTCTTTTATACACACTCACACTTCTAAAGTATATAATGTCAATTTTAGGCAGTGATGCATCGAGCAGGACTTCAGTCAGTGTTCAATAACATATTTTATTTAGTAGATAAACAAAGAGATGTGCAGGAGAAAATGTGTGCTGATGGTTCAGTGCCAATAGAATACTTTGATGGGAGAGGTGTTAGAAGAAAAGGGGAGGAATAGATTGCTGTTTTCTATCCTCGACATGGTACGAGAATCATACTAGGCATACGAATCACCACAGGGAAAGTTGACCATGAGTCGGTGGGAACTTCTTTTTGCTAAACTTGTCAGATTTTTTCAATGAGCATACTACTCTAACTGTCAAGCATCATAATGAAAAAGATACCATAAAAACAAGTATATAAGTAAGAAATCATCGATGACGTTGGAATTCCTGATCCTAAATTTCAAGTCAAACCTCGATACTGCTTGAGCAATGAGAAGTCACTAAGATCGACATTAGATGTAACAAATTATTTATATTATATGTAGCTTTCTTGCTTATCAATTATATATGAAAATGTAGTTTTCCATGCCATTCATTTCATTTCTTTACGCGTGCTTTGGCCTGTCGTTGCTTGGTTCCTAGGTTGATTTGTTTTGTTTTATTCTTGCAGATGTGGAGTATGATCTCCCTGATGTTTTGTAAACTGGTTTCAAGCATGTTGTGGAGGATTTAGCTATACATTTTGGTGTAAGGTGAGACCACTAACTTGTGTTCTTCGCTGAGCATTGAAAACCTGGGAATTTCTGACTGTGCTAACTTAAACAATGGTATTCGTGGAGAACATGCCTGGTAATCTCGGTATCGTTACCTGCACAGTAGAACATCAACTATTTGACCATAAAAGTTGGTTCAATTCAGTTATTCCAGCCAGCTAGCTAATGTGGTTCTTGCAAATAGCAGTGACAGCACCATACCACATTTCTTTCATAGTGGGGTTACATCTGAGGCAACAGATATTTATTCTCTCTCTAGATGTTGTATCAGGAAGCAACTTACCAACAAGGACAAAAGAAAACATCAGTCATGCCTAATTGTGAAGAAGAGTACGCCAATAGAGTTATTTGGGTTGTATAAGAAGAATACCGGCCAGTGCAGGTTGAGGCTAGACAATTGTTGCTTAACTGGGTTCAAGTTAGCTCAGTTGTTCCGACAAGATTTAGTTTTTTCCTCTGGTGTTTATTCTTGAGACATTTTATATAAATATAAATAGCAAACAAGCAATCCCATTGATCACAGCGAGACAGTTCACTTAGTAAGCAATGTAATGTAGGGACATATATTTGAGGTTCTAGATAATTTTTGTGGGTCATAGATTGTATGTTGCCAGTGAGATGTGACGAGATGGGAAATATATACTTTGCATGGAAATGACATTACTTTGCACATGCCACTTATTTTAATGCGTGAGCAGTCGTTTTGTGTAAATAACTAAATATACAATACGCCAGTGTTCAAAATTGTAATTAAAATTTCATTCACCTCACAGGGAATCTTTTTTGTATAAAAGATATAAATTTCGTCAGGCCAATTTATCGCAGTGTGGGGTCAGAACTAAAATTATGTCATATCAGTTATGTTAATCGGTGGGGCAGATTTATCGGTCTGTCAAGTGATTTGTCAGGCATCTATTATAAATTGGTCTGGTCCCTCCAAGCAAAAACCTCAAAATATATGGCAAAATTCCTCCACCTCGGTCGCTAAGTATCCTGATACAACACTTGGGCGAGCATCATAGTCATGACCCTCGCCAACTTCAGCAAACAAGCACCTCCTGGAATTCGACTTTCCTGATCAGTGGCAGCAAGCACGGAGGAGCCCTATGGGAAGCGAGTCGAAAAAGTTGATGTAGAGCTCGCAAGGCAAATACATCAACAGGTCGGCCGGTGCACGGCGCGGCTGCTCACGTGATGCCAAGCCGGAGGTTGTTTCAAATCCGTCCAGGCTTTGCGTTCATCCACGCCAGCACCGTCTAGATTAATATGGATGTGGTGTCTTTATATTGGATTAAAGACATGTGATATTATTCTTTTCCCGTTGCAACGCACGGGCATGTTTACAACTTTTTTTTTATGTTCGTTGTACTACCTTAATTGAAGATGAATTGAGCGGAAGTTTTCCCACAAAAATAAAAGAAAAGCGTTGATTCTGATGTTAATGTGGTTAGTGCTCTAGAAAAGCAATAATACTGCCCAAATCATTGATAACATGTTTGTTTGACAAGAAGTAATGTTTAATGTCTTGCCTCGCTTATTTGATAAACGGAATCAAAATCTCCCCGGTTCCATTTAAAATGGAACCTAGGGTAAAAACAGGCAGTTCATACAGTACATTGCACACGAATGGAGGTAAAAAAAACTTCAGATACAAAACATGAACAGACAAACAACAACACAGCTATACGATGCTCAGTACGTAGCCTGCAACTCAAGCAAGGTTAATGTCTCATGTCTTCGAGTGTATCCAGGAGCCATTTGGTGTATGCATGTCACCTACCATTATGGGTGGAAATTCGCCAAGGACGTCAAATCATCCAAGGAGTCGTCCTGGTTGTGGAGCGGCCGTACTTCTGACAACAATGTGTACTGGCCATTGTCAGTTGGTTCCCACTCCGTCTGGAAAAGCTCGCCCACAAACGGTGCCACTTGAGATGAAATGCGGTAGCCCTGTCCTGCAGCCTCCTCAGTTACACGCACCCCAGCGTCGTAGATGTTGTCGTCGCCCTCTAGTATGCTGTCCCAGAACCCGTCCAGCTCCCAGCCGACCTCTTCCAGAGCATTGCTAGATTCACTGCCGCCCACCCCCACCTGGAGTCCCTGCTTCTGCTTCTGCTTCTGGTGATGTTGGGCCTCAGCTTCAGGTGTACAGTTCTCATCGATTTCATTGGGAATCTGCAGGTAGGACTCTACTCCATTTTGCATCTGCAGGTAGTCGGCAACATCAAGCGACGGAACGGTGAACTCGACTATCGGATCGTTGTCTGGACGATCAAGATCCGCATGGTCCTCCTCAGCTTCAACTTGAACGGGTGCCAGCAGGAAGTCGTTGAGTTCATTGAGCTGCAGGAGCTCAACATCAAGTTGCGCTCCTGGTGAAACTTCTGGGTGGTCGTGATTCAGTGACATAAAACGGAATTAGTAATTTTTGATAGATATAAAAGAAATAAAATATGTTAACAAAAAGAGTAGACCCTTTTGTTCCGAAAACATGTAGTATATCACTCCTCCAATTACCAGAGTATTGCATTCAAGGAGATTCGAACACAAGAACACAAGCATAAACCACTGGGCAAGGGAAGCTATAGTACGTCGAGTAAAGGGTTCCATTGCTTCTTTTTCGCACTCCAGATGAATTCTACTTCAAAATTCATTTGACAATTCTGTTCGGGAAATGGATGATATTTTGGTTGATGTCGGGCCAGGAATGGAAGGACGACCTTCCATTCATACTATTGTGGTTGGCACCTTGTGATGTGAAGGTTGGTGGTGACTCAGGCCATGGATACCAGGTGTCGGTGTCAAAACCGGCAGATCTCGGATAGGGGAGTCCAAGCTGCTAGTCTAAGGATCAATGGTAGCAAGGGACGATGGGGACACGGTGTTTTACCCAGGTTTGGGCCCTCTTAATGGAGGTAAAACCCTACGTCCTGCTTGATTATATTCGATGAGTATGGGGGTTACAAGAGTTGATCTACCTCGACATCGTAATGGCTAAACCCTAACTGTCTAGCCTATGATTATTCTGATGACCTCTACGGACTAAAATCCTCCAGTTTATATACACATCAGAGGGGCCTAGGGTTGTACAGAGTCAGTTTACATACGAAGGAAATAGTACATCCGGATACACAACTTGTCGTCCACGCATATGGGGAGTCCTACCCGGACACGGGGGATAGTCTTTTGCTTTATCTTCACGGCCCATTAGTCCGGCCCATACCGAATAGACCGGACACCTGAGGACCCTCGAATCCAGGACTCCCTCAGTAGCCCCCGAACTTGCCTTCAATGACGACGTAGTATCCGGCTTATGTCTTCGGATTTGCAAGGCGGGTTCTTCATCATACTCCGGATTGACAACAGTCCGATTTTGACCTCCATCTTCTACCTTTATGACTCCTTCCTGTTGTCGCCTCGATTTCCACGCGCTGGGCGAATGCGAACGGTCCATAATTTTTTGCAAATAAGCCCCTTACAACACACGGACGACATCTATATAAAGAGAATAGATCCTCAAGTACCATCCCACATCGCACAAAGAGCATCAGAACAAACCACAAGAAACTTCATAACATGGCAAGCGCTCCTGGCTCCTCCTCGCGCCCTCATGGCCCTCAAGTGGGTGAATGGCGAAGCTGCTCAGTATCCCTCCTAGAGCTGAATCAACTTCAGACACAGGGATATGTCCCTCCCGCAGATCTAGTCCCCGTGCAGGCGGGATTGGCCTCGATTGTCAATGACGTGCTAGCGGAGAATTTCCCCAATCCCAACAAAGAGGAGAGGGTGTGCTTCATCTCGTTTCTCCTGAGGGGCTTAGGATTCCCGATCCACCCCTTTCTCAGGGGTCTATTGGAGTTCTACGGGATCCAGCTGCACAATCTCACCCAGGTTCTATCCTGCACATCTCGGGTTTTGTCGCTCTTTGTGAACTGTTTCTAGGATGCGAGGCTCATTTTGAACTATGAAGAAAGTTCTTTTGCCTCGTTCCTCGTCATCGAGGGGGTTCCATATTTGAAGTGGGCGGCGCCGAACTATGTCGCATAGCCGGATTAGGCTACCTCATCGGAACTCCCAGAAAAGGAGCCGAGGAATGGACTTCAGAATGGTTTTATATTGAGGATGTTCCCCTTTCGGACCCAGTTCGACGTGGCCTTCCCGAATTCTCCAGCGCTCTTCTGAAGAAACGCCTCAACTGGCGTCCCCGGAGCCCCCAGCAAGAAGACAGTGCGGAGGTAATGAGGTTGGCTAGCAAGGTCAGGTTACTTGCTCATTCTGAACTCTCGATAATTGAAGTTATGGCCATTGCAATAAAGTGATGCATCCAGCTCCTCCAGTCCAGAGTGACTCCTTTATGGTGTTATAACGGAGAGGACGACGCATCTCGTTATAGGCGCAAGGGCCCGGATACCCCAACCGAGCTGGCCGTGATCCTGGCTGATCTTTATAAGGGGGAGAAAGAAGACTTCATCCGTTTAAATTGCCGGGAAGGTTTTTCCATGTATAACCCCATTGAATGGGTAAGCTTTTGATTATCAGCAATATCCTACCTTGTTATCAAGGTATGCTAATCAACTTGTTCTGGTAGTTTTAAAGCGGACTTGGAGGAGGGCGTCGAAAACAATCATTGCCCCTCCCCGCAACCAGAGGACTATGGCCGCAATGAGGACCCCGGCTCCCGCGAGGATCCGGATACATTTATAAAATTTGATGATGGGGTCTTTTATCAAGCGAGCCTTGATGGCTCGGAAGTGGTTATTATGGCCGACTACCTCGACCTCCTCTCTTTCTCCAATGTAAGTATTCAGAGATCATCTTCAAAAAGGAACCCCCCACTTGCGTCTCACCCATCACACTAAATCATGCTTCATAGGGTCGGCGCTCAGCGAGCCGCGCCCCTAGGGCGGCCCCCAAGAAGGTAGCATCTACGCAGGGTGAGTCTTCAAAACGGAAGGAAACCGAGAGTGCGGTCGAGCCCCTCCTTAAACAAAGAGGTATATCTTTTAATATGTGCCTAGGCATAAGACCAGATTGTCATATATCTCCTCCCGTTTTATTCTAGGAGGAGCACACGACGAACCGTGTCCAAAATCCCAGTTAGCCGATTATCAACTAATCCGACGTCGGACTCATCAACCAGGACAAGAGCCAATACGGAGGAGGCGCCAGCTCATCCACCTCATGAGGATTCGGATGAAGTATCCATCACAAATTCCAAAGTGGAGAGCGTGATGAATCATCAACGACTGAAAGAGACTACGCGCGCTCTAGTTTTTACTGAGAAGGAATTCGCTGCCCTCAGCACCATGGATGCGTATATCCGAGCCGCCCGGGACGGACTTGCTGGGGTTGCTCACCTGTTTTCAAAAGATATGCAGGTAATGGTTTGTGTAAGTTTAATAGATATATGCCAGTAGCCCCCGAGACTTGAAGCGTTCTAGACCAACCGATTTAAGGATCGTTTATCACCGCAAGTTCTCAAAGAGAAGAACAACACACTGTCCCAGGAGCTTGAAACCAGTCGGACAAAGCTACATGCCGCCACCACAGAGCTGGAGGAAATGAAGAAAGCCAAGATGAACGCTGAGCAAAAGAACAAACTAGAGGAGGAAAAGGATAATCAAGCCGAAGAGATAAAGAACTTAAAGGCTCAGTTATCGGATGCAGAAAAAGTGAATAAAAGCTGAAAAGCGGCATATTCGGTATGACTGTTGGACCATCCGAGGGATTCATATTATCCAATAATTCAGAGTGTGATAATGTTTGTTCTTGCAGTTCTGTTAACCGGGCGTCCTGAAGAGGAGGTATCCGGATTCCAAGGCGACGTGCTAAAAGAGCTGTCCGTAGTGCACGAGCTGGCCCGGAAAACCATGAAGAGTATGGTCAAAGCCTTATGGCCATTCAAAGGTGCCCGGCGCCGTTTTGAGCTATGGAAGGCCTCACCATGCCAGGAAGGTGCCCGGGAGGCATGGGCAATGGTGAAAACATGCTACACCGGGCTCGATCCGAATCATATGGCCCGAGTTGGTCCTCAGGGACCGGACAGAAAAGAAATTACCGTGAACTTGGCATATGACCAAGTCATGATAGCTCCGAAGTATTCGCAGGAAGACTGTAGTTTAGATAGTCTTATAGATGGCATAGATAAAGAGTAGACGTTCGATTCGATGTATCAATGTACTTTATCATCAACCTTATCTCCAGCCGAACTTGGTAAAATTTGTCATCGCAGGCCTTCGGCTTCAACCTCCGAACTGAGGAGTTGGAGTGTTTCCGGATACCATGTTTAGAATAAACATTCGTTATGTCCGGAAACCAGGAAATCCGGTCATAGTGCTCAAACAGACAAAATTTGCTCCGGGAGTTATGTTATATTACTATTTAACATAAGAAACATCTTCCAAGAAGAATAGTTCCATTAAGGGTCCCTTTCCTTGGGTTGGCATGCTTAATTATGCATACCTTGGCTTTGATCTAAAAGATAGAATTATGGGCAGCCTATCCCTTATTTTAGAAGAATTACGCAAACGTAAATAATCTGTCGTTGCTTCCCGACCAATTATTCCCTTAAGAATGCTAGCTTTCGGCTTCACCCGTCTGAGGTACAGATCCGGATTACCCGGTTGTATCAATCGCAGAGGTACTCCCTTTACACCCTAGCCGAACAATCGAGAACATAGGGTATCAACACAGGAGCAAGGCAACCCAGCTTGGCAAAGACTTAGTCATAGAGGTGCATATAATGGCAAAAGGTGTATAGAACAAATGATGGAAACAATAGAGGCAATAAGCCTTTAATAATAAGCTTCGTCAAAGAAGCCCCCATATATAGCAGGGTGCATACATTTAAAGATGTGTACCCCTAACAGTTCGGTAGATCCGAACATACCCTGGGATATAAGAAGGAAAAAATAAGGAGAGGAGAAAGAGGAACCTAGTCAAAGTAGAAAATAGAGTGTGACCGAACTATCCGTAGAATCGTCGGAGCCGAGCAGCGTACCATGGATTCGGCTCAAAGTGATTATCCGATGCATCACGAAGGTGATATGATCCTCATGTGAGAACTTCATCTATGATGAAGGGGCCCTCCCATTTTGGTTTGAGCTTGTCCTTCTTCTTCTCCGGGAGACGCAAGACAAGGTCGCCGATGTTATATGTCTTGGCCTGCACTTCTCTGCTTTGGTATCGCCTGGCCTATTGTTGATAAAATGCGGAACGGGCTTGTGCAATATCACGCTCCTCTTCAAGGCCGTCTAGGTCATCGTGCCGATTGAGCTCGGCTTCTCTCTCTTCGTACATGCGTACTCGAGGTGAGTCATGAATAATGTCGCAGGGCAGGACAACTTCTACGCCGTACACCATGAAGAAAGGTGTGTACCCGGTCGTTCGATTAGGAGTATTCCGCAACC